TTTTTGCGGTTGAAGTGAACAAACCCACGCATAAAAAATGTGCAAGTGGACTTGGTCACTTCAACCGCAAAAAAAGCCGGCCAGTTTGATGTTCATGAAACGAAGTGTTTTTTTTTTGCGTCCAAATAACCTATAAGAGTTATGCGTATCTACGAGTATAATCAAAATGACGTTATTATTTGAAAACATACCGTCAAATGGAGTTACGGCAAATGCACTTATTGCACCGGATGTTAAGCCGGCCAAAAAGGACGCATAAAAGACAGCGTCGCCACTTCCATCAGCGGACCGAGGACCCTCAAAAATGATCAGCTTTCATCGAAAATCGAAATTAACTGCAATGCATCAGACTGCACTCACAGAAACTACCAGTCGCCAATATTTTAATGTTTGCGGACTCAAATTTAATTTTTATCAATCCGTGCAGTCACATGAAATAGCTTTACAACTGTGTTAAAAGTAAAACAAATGTTACCTACCAAACTATCCAGGTACGCAAAAAACGGAAAATACATGATAGAAAATGTGACATCGCGAGCCATTGTTGAGTTGTAACCTTTATAAAGGCCAAGAATGCCTCGTTTTTTCAATAAATCTATAGTGATACCAATTGCGGATAACTTCTTTTTTGGCTGGTTGTCTCCTAAAACAGACTACTTTAGCGTTATTGCCTGTCACACAAAGCACGCATCGTTTCTTTTTTATGCGTTTTTGTATATATGCAAATTATAAAAACGCATATTGGAAGGAGACTGCCTATGTGTATCTGTGTGTTCGTACTTTTTGTCACCCACTTTCAACTCGAGAACCAGAAAAGTTAGGATGAAACTTTGGGAGTATGTGTCCACTCCATGCGTAACCTTTCCATTTTAATATCCTCCGCGGACGCTTGGATGCCGAGTATGGAGGCTTTAAAAGTAATAAGCAAGTCTTTTGGCGGGAAAGCGATCTCGGGAACCAGACAAAATAAGGAGCTGAAACTTTGTAGGGATATTCCCTGTGTACGTGTTAACTAAAGATTTCAAATTCAGCCCTCAGGTATGCGTGTTTCTTACGTACAAGCATGTGAAAGATTTGGCAGAAGAATTGTTAACTCGGCAACCAGAAAAGCTGGAAAGCTGAAATTTTAGGGGGATGTTCCCTGTCCACGTGCAGTTTGAAAATTTCAAATTCAGCTTCCCAGCTGTGCGTTGTACTCACATAAGGGCGTATGAAATTTTCTGCGGTAAATAACTCGGGAACCAAAAAAGCTAGAAAACTGGAATTTTAGGAGAATGTTACCTGTCCAAGTAGAAATTAAGTATTTCTAATTCAGCCTTGAGGTATGCGTGGTTCTTATATACGGGCGCTTAAATTTTTGGCGGAAAATTTCTCAATTAACAGCTAGGTTACATTTAAAAGGCGACCGTTAAATAGAAATTGTACATTTACTTTATGCAAAATTTATGCTAATTTATGCCAGTGACCGCAAAAGGCAGAGGTAAAGCAAAACCATTCACGCAGTTAATGACCTGAGCACTTAAAGTCCGATGCAAAAACGTATGATCGCGCGGGCACGACCGGTGCGTTCCAGCTTGGGTTCAAAATATTACTAAAATAAAACACATTTTTCAAGTGCACCAAAATTTTTTTAGGAAGTTATTTCAAGAACCTGTTATTCTTCCGGCATCCTGCATTTGAATTTTGAGCAGTTCCATTGGCGTCGTTACGGTAATTTGGCAGAATCCTGCACCAGCTCCAGCTATCATTCCTTTAAATACGGGAAGGTCCGCCTCGTTAGGCTTCGAAAGACAGTAACGGAAGAAATCATTCGCAACAAGCTTTATAGATTTTTCGGGTGTAATAAGAAGCAGATTGACGCCACTTCCAGAATACATCGCTCGCACCTTCGAAAACAGACTTCTTCCTCCGCTCCGCCATGTCTTCTTCGCACAGTCAATTCTGCAAAAGAAAAAAAAA